CCCCCCCGGACCGTCTGTCTAGTTGACCTAAATTTTGTATGCCTTCCCAGAGGACATGTTTCTTGATTGCAACCGTACATCAATGTACTTACTTGATTTCAGTATCGGGTTCGCGTGTATGTTCTGTTTCACATTGAATCCCAAATTTCGACAATTTTTCTAAAATCTGAAGGTCAAACGATCAGCTTCTGTTCTGCGTCCTCCACATTAAAAGTACAACCTGCGAACAATGACGAGACTACAACTGTATTATACAGTGTTACTGTCCAGTATATACAGCACATGCCCCATGATATACATCTAATGCCTTTGTCGTTCGTAGTGCCTATGTCTTTCACCTAATCATTCACCATCACACCTAAGCCTAGTAGTATACAAAACTATATATATATATATATATATATATATATTCACGCTGTATATACAGCGCTACGTCAGCATAAAATCCCCCGGTTTGAAGGGATTAATACGCAGATACATCTGTATTTCAGGAAACACTAGCTTAGGGGAGGGCGCGCGAAACGATAAGTGCCGCCCCCCACAGTTCAGGCGAATGGAACCTTCTAGAAGGTTCCACAGCCGCCCTACATCTGCTTTTCTGTATTAAATTGAAGTTAAACTGAGCCTGCCTCTGATTGGCTACAACTCTACACTTGTCATATCTGATACACTCACCCTCCCTCTGGCGTGGGCGTCCCCTCAGTCTTGCCATTCCGGAAATTGCGCTGTAGGCCAGAGGTGTCGTTCCCCGTCGGATTTGTCCGACCCCGAGTTACCCACGCCTGACTTGTGCGGGCCTGTTTACTTGGGGCTTGGATAGGTCCGTCCGGGAGGATGGCCATGCCTCCTGTGTCTGCTGCGTCTGCTGCTGCTGCTAGACCGGCTTCCGCCTCTCCTTCGCCTCGCTCGCCGACCGTACCGCCTGTGGTGCTTCCAAGCGACTCTTTGGGTGCACCACCGACCGGCATGGCTTCGACCGCTTCGTCTGAGCCCCACACGTCGGACGAGGAGCTCCTTGCGAGCTTTCTCGACTGGGGCCCCGAATGTGACTTCGGTTCCCGTGCTCATCGTCGTTCTTGCACTCGTTCGTCGATGACGCCGGCTCCTACTGAAGCCCCTGCTGTTCCGGATGCCATGGGCGATACTCCTGCTGTTGCTGTGACTCTGCCGTCACCTGTACGGGCTCCTGTGGCTCCATCCCCAAGTGACGCGGCTGTTGAAGCTCCTGGCTCAAGTCTTGTTCCTCCCCGTTCGGTTACGCCTTCTGTTGGTTCCTCCGAGACCGCTATTGCGTTTGGCGTGTCTCGCGAAGACGT